GATTATTGGAGATTTATTTTGTTCCTTTCATTATATCATGTTTCACTGATTCTTTGGGTTCCAGGTATTGCTGTGTGCTCTCTCCCTGTCTTTACAGATGAGCTGAAACAAGGTGAGATCTTCACCAGTTAGTCCAGCTAGTGAATGTAGGAGCTTCTCAAGCCTTTTCTGTGGATGTGCGTTCTGTTGAAGTGTGCATATGGAGTCTTAATTGTAGGAATTTACTGGTTTTAATTTTTCAGGTGCCCGTCATCTCTTGCTCCCTGTGGTGCCTGACTGCTGCACTGCAGGAAGGAACACTGGCATCCACCTCACTCCCATGAGGGATCCCTGAGTTCAGCTCTTCTCCCAGTCCTACAGAGTTGTGCTGGTTGCTGCTAGTCACCAGTCCTTTTTTCTTTCCTCTTATTTTCTCCTAAGCATCTGAATTATGGTAGTTGTGCTGGCATGGAGCTGTGAGGCTAGGTAGAACCAGACCCCTTGGATGGTACCCTGAAAGGCCCTATGTTGAAGGCATGCTCCACTTCTCTCCCCCTGCTCCTGGACTGAAGCTGCAAGTTCTTCACCTTCTCTTAGTTTTATAGGAAGTCATCCCTTTTCCTTTGTACTTAACTGCTCTCAGGTATCCAGACTGTGCTGGTTCTGTCAGTACTTCACATGAAGTGAGACGTGAGCCTCAGTCAGTCTGGTATGCTTGGTGCCGGCTCCACTCTGCTCTCCCAGGTGAAGTTGCAGGGCAAGGTGATTTCTCTTGGTGCCCAGCTGTACCAGCTTGAGGGAGGCTGACATATGGACAGTAAAATTGCTGTTGTCTGTTTCTACACAGATGGTATTTTTTGCTCGTCTTGAGTACTGTAGTGCAGTCTCTTGACTCGATTCTGGACTCCTCAGAGAGGCGTTTGGTCTGTATATTTTTGTTAAATCAGTGTTTCTGTGGGGCAGTGAGAGCGAGATCTTCTTTTTCTGCTACCTTGCTGACATCACTTCCCTAAAGTTCAGTCGTGACCCTAACCATTTATTTGATCCCACACTAGTGCTTTCTGTTGTTCTTATTTTAATCCCCACCATGCAGCAGCTCCTTAGATCGCCAGGTTGTTTCACATCTTTGCTTTCCACCCACAACATCTTTTCTTGCTTTCTGGATCAATTAGGGTTCATTAGATACCAGAAATACATATAAAAGGTCATTTGTTAGGAGACTGATTAAAAGCACAGACTGGAGACAGCTTTCTTAGGTTTGAATCCGAGCCCTGCAAGTCAATAGCTACTTGACTTTTGGCAAGTTATTTATCTATGCCTTAACTTATTACTAAAATGGGAGTGAATTATTTCTAGTTGACATTAGGTCATTTTGAGGGTTGAGTTTACCTATGCTAAGCTCTTAGAACAATGCTTACATTAAAGTAATTGTTAGATTTTTTTTTTTTTTTTTTTTTTTTTTTGGTACCAGGGATTGAACTCGGGTCCTTGCCCTTGCGAGGCAGGCACCAGAACCACTAAGCTAAATCCCCGGCCCTAACTGTTAGATATTTTAAATGTTAGCGTGCAGGACACAGAGGTCTCGGGAACAAACTAAGGTAGTTCTGAGAGTCTTATTCACAGGCCATCTCCTTAGGTTCAACAACTTGACTCCAACTGCAAACAATCCTGTAGATTTTGCTTTAGATTCAGATTTCAAAAAAGTCTAATTGAGTTCAGTTGAGATAGTCCGCCTCTTGGGGCAGTTAATAAACACAGTGGTGCTGGGCCGTCTACAAAGTAGCTGCCCACTGTCCTTTCCACTGAACAGCCAGGCATTTCTTGTGCCTTCCCTGATTGTCTCCCTCAGAGCCCCTGTGCTTGTTACATCTCACACAAGGCTGTGGTGGTGCCTTGACTACACAGTGCTAGTTGTTTGTCAATAAATCTCTCTCTGCTCCTCAGTTGACAAACTCTAGAGTCAAACTCAAGTTCCTCTTATCTTGAACATAGCACAGTGGCTGGCAAGGAACACACATTTAATAAAAGTTGAAAAATGTCCCCACGTTCATGCTTTCTCTGCTGCCCTGTCAGTTTTCTTATGATGCTGATTCCCATAGATGCCTGTACTTTTCAGAGGAATACTGTGAAGCTGAATGGTAATTACAACTCTAGAAAGGGGCTGGGGATTTAGATCAGTGGTTCCAGTGCCTGCCTCGAAAGTGCAAGGTCCCAAGTTGGATCCCCAGTACCAAAAAAAAAAAAAAAAAAAAAAAGAGAGGGATATTTGGTGCAAGGTCCTGAGTTCAATCCCCAGTACCAAAAAAAAAAACCAACTCTAGAAAGAGCCTTGAAGTCTGTGGGATTAGAACAGCCCTGGGGAGGAGAGAGTTTTTCAGCTGATTCTACATGGTCCAAGAGCTATCAGACCAATAAAATTGTTATATTGGGAATGGTGGGGGCAAAGTTGTGAAGTGCAGTTAAAGAGCAGTAGGAGAATTAGTACAGGGGGAAATTATAATGTCATTTATCTGTCTGCTCTGGCTACATCTAACCTAGCACTTCTTAACCATGGGTAGCTGAGAATCAAAGGGGACATTTAGCAGTATCTAGAGACCTTTTTGCTGTCACAACAGGAGGAGTGTTGGTGCTGCTTATATCTAGTGAGTGGGAGCCAGCAATACTGCTAAAATTTTATTGTACACAGGACAGCTCCTCACAACAAGGAATTATCCAGCCCAATGTCAGTATTGCTGAGATTAAGAAACTCCAAAGTAACCCTCACAATCCTATGGGAAAATAGGAACAGTGAGGCTGGGGTTGCTAGATCAAGGCCAAGCAGTCATCCTGAGTACCCATTAACGTGCAGTGGCCTACATTTGCTACCCTGGAAAAGGACCCCCTCAAGAGAAGCTTGTGTTCCCTTCCTTCCTAATCCAGTTAAGAGGACATCTGAATGAATATCTGGTTCATCTAGAGGGAAGCGGTAAATTGTAGGTACCAAATATGTGATAGAAGGAGTAAAGACAACGGTGTCGTGGGCAGAAGTGGTAAAAGTTTTGGCAGCAGGATAACTCCAGACATTTGGGAAGAGAGTTTCCTAGGAGAAATGAGCTGGGTCAATTAGTAGGAAATTTGTCTTAGCACATTGTATATCTGCAAGCTGTAGGTTGTTTTATTAATGTGATGCTATGGGGGAGAGGACATTAAACGAGGGTGTTTTTCTAGGATTGAAACCCAAGGAAGAAAACATTTATCATTTAAAGTCTGTCACTTTTTTCATTTGGTTTCTTCATTTATTTAACACCCTCTGGTTAATCACAGACTTGCATCTCTGGTCATTAGCGTACTTCTGAGCTCCAAGCCTGTCTCTGTGGGTTGCATGTGCTCACTGAGTAGCCCAAAAGAGACCATTTCAGTTATTCTGAAGTTCTGAAGTGAGCTCATAACTCTTGACTCATCATGTTCATTCCCCTAACATGCTCCTCCCCTGTCTTCTTCATGTAACTTTACTTGTTCATTTAGCTAGCAAATGTTTACCAAGCACCTGGGTAGTTGGCAAAAAGGTGAATAAGATGCAATCCTTTTTGCCAAAAGATTTTGTAGAATAGGTAAGGTAGACACAAAAATTAGCAATTAAATACAGCATGCAAACTAGAGTGATGGAGTTCTAGGTAGGAGATGTAGACATAGAGGAGAGAGATGTGCCAGGATGTGTCTAGTGAAGAAGAGGGGCAGAGTAGATATAGTCACTGGTGCCTGGTCGAGATGGTACTTGAGCCAATCTTAAAAGATGGATTGATAGGAGATCACCGGGGAAGATGAGCAGGAAGGCACATTCCAAGTAGAAGGCATTCTGTCTGCTAGTAGGGTGTGTGTAGGGACTGGCACACCATCTGGGGCAGTGGAAACAGGTACAGAGAGGAGTGAATGGGCAAGGACTGTGCAGGTCTTCATCTGTAGCCCCACCCTTCCCTGCTGTGTAATCCAGATGCAATCAACTGTCAATTGACTAATGCTGCTCACTCTTCTATCTGTTATGTTCTTCCCATCTCCTAATGTATGCAGTCCACCTAGCCTGCCAGATCTCCCTCCCTCCTATACGCCAATTGCCCTGGCCTTTGGGACTTCCCAGTGGATGGCAGACATTTGCCTTCCAGGCTCATTGTTAATCAGGAGTTTCTTCCAGGCATGCTTGCCTTGTTGTAAGAATCCCTGCTCTGTTCTTTCATCTCTGTAGTCATTCACAATTGCTGAGATCATGAGCACTTTCAATGCTCCATTCGAATGCTCTTGCCTTATCCATCTGTTCCACCTGTTCAAATTTTCTGTCTCCCAGAAGCTGCCCTGTCTGCTTCCCTTCCTCTGCGCTATCACTGTACTTTTTATGTGTTTCACTTTTGTCTTGTATAATGATATAGATAATGTGCCCTGTGAGTCAGACTGACCTCTCTGGGCATGTGACCTGGCCAAAATTTGATGTTTCCTCTCTATCTGTTCGTCACTGTTTTGTTATACTTTGTAACATTAGCTCTGGATGCTTGCACTAGGTTTGCAGCTTTTTTAACAGTTTTGATAGCTAGGGAGTTTTAATTGGTTATAAAACTATGGAAATGGTTCAGGCCTTCTAGAAGGTCTAGCATAATAATTAAGAGGCTTTGAAGCTTGACACTTTAGGTTCTAATACTGTCTATGCTGCTTCCTGGCAGAGTGTATGGACTAGTTACTCAACTTCTCTGAGCCTGGTTACTCATCTTTATTATGAAAATAATAATAATAATGCTTGATAATGTTTTAATTGGAATTAAATGAGTGAAAGCTCGTAAAATACTGTGTGTGCAAGGCACATAGCAACAGCCAATCATTTATTGGATATGTACACTTATCCTGAACTGTTTGTGGAAACTGATTTATAAGCCTTCTTTTCTTAATTGTTTTCTTTGGATCCTTAAAGGCATTTGTTTGTCACACCTAATCACTTCTTCCAGGACCTCATTTCATGTTTATATTTGAAATCTGACTTCTCTTTGTTCACCCAAAAGGTTCCTAGAAGTTATGGCTGGTGCTCTGACTGATTATCTTTATCACATCTCGTCTGAAAACCTGTTGAATGCTACGTGTTCATTTTGCATGATGAACTATTTCCCCTTGGCTTTTGTCGATCAACTTCTCCAAAAGGATGTCATCAGTGAGCTGCTGACATCAGGTAGAGTGTTAGTGTACCTGGAGACTATAATAAAACACTGCTGTGAGCTATGTTATGATTCTGAATGAGAGCTCTGCCAGAACAGAGGTAGTTGAAATGTACAGAACTGAAGTTACTGAGGAAAGGATCAATCCTTCCTAATGGAAGTTACCGGTCAGTACTTTAAACCAGAACATCTATGGAACCTCCTTTAGTGATAAGTGCTGTATACAGAAGAAAATAAAGACTGCATGACTGTCATAGCTTTCCACTGCTGTGACAGAAATACAGTACCTGAAATAGTTAACTTACAAGGAGGGAAGATTGATTTGGCTCATGGTTTGGGAGGTTTCCATCCCTAGTCACTTGGGCCCATCACTTTTGTACTGTGGCAGCACAGTATATCCTAGTGAAAGTATGTGGCAAGCAAAGGATGCTGCTCACTCATGGCATCCAGGAAATATAAACACAGAGCCAAGAACGGGTTGGAATCCCAGCGTCCCCTTCTGGGGCACCCAGTGGCCTAGCTTCCTTCCAGTAGGCCCCACCAGTATGGCAGCACACTATAGGGTGGCAGCCAGGCCTTTAGCATTTGGGTCTTTGGGGATTATTTAAGATCCAACCCATAGTGGTAACCATTGTGTGCACCTGTACAAATACTAAATGTGCAGATTTTTCTTTGTGCCTTGATCAGAGGTGTTTGCATTTCCTAATCTTTACGTATCGCATTGGAAGCCAACTTAAGTCAAAAGCTGTAAATATTTGGTGATCCATGACCTTTAATGAGGACACAGCCTGATAGGTCAAGTAACTAAATAGGTACCAAATTAGTGAATTTATTTGCTTTTAGAACAAAATTATTAACTTTTAAATTTAAAAAAAATCTGAGAATAAAGTAGTTAAAATTCTTTTTAAAAACAATGCTACACAGTCCCAAATTTGAGTTGTGAAAGGTCAGTACATATGCTGGCTTTTCAAATAGTTCAATGTTAGAGAACCAGCTTTAAACCCAGGAGACCTAGGTTCTAGTCTGCGCTTTGCTGTTATTAATCATCATTAACATTGTTGGGCATTTCTTCTGTAAAATGAGTTTACACTAAATCATCTCCACAGATATTTTAAGCCTTAAACATTGGCAAGTGCAAAGATTGAAGCTAGACCCATATCCATCACCATGAACTAAAACTAAGACCAAAGTGGATTAAAGATCTAAATATTAAAACAGAAACACTGAACTTGCTGGAAGATAAGTTAGGTAGAACTCTCGAAGACATTGGCATAGGAAAAGACTTTATGAACAAAACCTCAGTAGCATGGGAACTAGCACAAAGGAACAACTGGGATCTCTTCTTATTAAAAAGCTTCTGCACTGCAAGAGAAACCACCAACAGAGCTAAGAGACAACCTACAATGTGGGAAAAAAATTTTAGCAGCTGTGCCTCAGACAAAGGACTACCATCTAGAATATATAAAGAACTGAAAAAACTTAGATCCCCCAAATTCAAAGACCCAATTCAAAAATGGGCATCTGAAATGAACAGACATTTCTCAGACAAAGTAAAAGCAGCAAATAAACATATAAATGTTCCATATCACTGGTCATTCGAGAGATGTAGCTGAAAACAACACTGAGATTCCACCTCACCCCAGAAAGAATGGCTGCTATCAAGAAATCAACCAATAACAAATGCTGGTGGGGGTGTGGGGAGAAAGGAATCCTTCTCCATGGTTGGTGGGAGTGCAGACTGGTACAACCACTGTGGAAATCCGTATGGAGATACCTCAAAGAACTAGGGCTAGAGGTCCCATTTGACTCAGCTATTCCCCTACTGGGTATCTTCCCCAAAGAATTAAAAGAATCATACCACAGCGGTATATGTGCACCCATGTTTATAGTTGCACAGTTCATAATAGCTAAAGCTTGGGAACAGCCCAAGTGCCCATCAACTGGAAACTAGATAAAGAAGATGTGTTTTTTTTATAAAATGGAGTAGTACTCAGCCATAAAGAACGGGAAACTAGAGACATTTATAGCTAAATGAATGCATATTGAGGCCATACTCTTAAGCGAAATAAATAGGACACACATGTGTAAATACCGAATAATTTCTCTAGTGTGAGAAACTGAAAGTGTAAAAAAGAATTAAAATGATTAAAATGAATAATTGATAATTTAAAATAGGAAGAAAAGGTCCAAAAGGGTAGGGGAGGTGTGAGGGGAAGGAGAAAGGAAAGAAGGGAAAGGAAAAATGATAAAAGGAAAAAATGGAAACAAAGTCTTTTTAAATAGGGAAGGGTGGACAGGGAATGGGGAAAAAATAAGAACCACGATACATCATGTACAGGTACAAGCACCCAGTGACAAATGTAAACGTATTGTATACCTAAAATGTAGCAATAAAAGAATTTAAGCAAAAAAAAAAAAAAAAATTGGCAAGTGCAGGAGGGCATTGTTCCAGATACTAGAAACTAGGGTGACATCAAGAGAGTCCTCATGACATTAAAGGGACTATTAGAAATACAGATGTATTAAAATAGTTTGGGTGGTTTTTTTTGGTACTGGGTATCGAACTCAGGACCTTGCACTTGCAAGGCAGACGGCAGCTCCACTGAGCTAAATCCCCAGCCCCTAAAATAGTTTTTTTAAATGTGGCATTAATATTTTTCTTAATCGTGTATATTCTTTCTTTGTTTTCTTTTTTAGATGACATGGAGAAGAATGTTCACAAGCTTCATATTTTGGATGCTTGTCTAAAACTTGATCTTTCTTCCTATCACAAGGGGATAGACACAGCACTTCCACAGCTGCCATTGTCACCTTCATACCCAAATGCAAAAGTTGTAAAAGTATTGAGCAGGCTTCTGGGAGACAGCAAAGGATTCTTCTCAAAAGATGTACAGTTGCCACATAATTATCATATCGGTATGGGACTTCCTTCATTTTATTTGTTTTCCTTTGTTCCTTGACAGAAGATTATTAGTGTACTTCAGCAGTTTAGTGCAGTGTGGCATCGCCCTTGGACCTAGACTGCCTGGGTTTGGATTCTTGCTTTGTGAACTTATTAGCACTGTGGCTTCAGATACTTACCAACCTCAGTTTCTTCATCTATAAAATGACAGTTATAATAATAACAGCCAGCTCAACGGATTCTTGTGAACAATAAAGGCAAATGTAAAATCCCCAGACTAGTAACTGGCACATGGGAAGCTTTCAGTAAGTTTAGCTACTGTCATTAGTTTAGCTACTAAATGGTAGTTTAGCTACCATCATTACCCAAGATGGTGGTGTTAGACATTTGGACACAGAAAGTCATCTTGAGCAATGTTTGAAAAATTAATATCAGTTTTTTCTTGCAGATTTTGAAATCAGAATGGATGCTAACAGGAAACAAGTACTTTCATTTTCTGATGCAGATGTACCTTCTGCTACGAATATGCAAAGGTTGCTGTTTATACTCTTTTTCTGGGCTATATAAATTCAAGTCTTAATTTGGAAAGACGTCATATTAAATCTCAGTAAAACTAATACTAATGATTGTATGGAGCCTGTAATACACCAAAGGAATTTGCTTCCATGAATTTACTGCTTAGGGACGCATAATTCTGGGCTGGAGTTGGGTCACTTACTGAAATATACATTTTTTAAAACTTAGATTTTGAAGCTAAGTAATTCAGTAAAACAGTGTTAACATAGTTGAAACTATCAAGGGAGTATACACTTCTGACAATATAATAGCATTAAGACTGAGAATTCTACAAAAATGAAATACCCAATAAATGTTTATCACCAAGACTCATGAAAAAATAGAGGAACTTCAGCTTTTTAATTAAGCTGTGTTATATATGGGTTAGAGTACAGTGATACGAATCATAAGTTGTTTCCTTGATCACACATTATATGCTTGTACTTCTGGGTAAAAATGGGGACTTCTGGGAGCCTCTGGGAGAAATACGACTCCACACTGTGGGAGAGTGTCCAGCCTGCTCAGCACATGCATAAGATCATTCAGCCTTGGTGGAAAGGTTCTGCTAGGGCCTGTGGGGCACACAGAGATGAGTCAGACATGGGCCCTGGCCCCAAGGAACTAATATCTCTGATCATTCTGTTAGATATGCACATAAATACCATGCAGTTCTGTGACTTTTACCCTTGCCAAGTCCGCCTGGCTCATTCCTTGCTCATCTTTTTCAAGTTCTGTCTTCCTTATCCCTATTCCCTATATGCCCTCAGGAGAGACTTTCTGCCCCTGTGCAAGTATCATTTTTCTCTTTTAAGGTACTCCACTGTTCTGACATAATAAAACTTAATAAAAAACAATAGTTCTCAAAGTACTGAGAAATAAAGAATCTAAACATTTCTTAAAAAATGTAAATTTTCTCTTAGCCAGGACAGAGAAGACAGTAAAGAAATAAGTGCCTTTTTTGCCTTCTTTTTTCCTCCCAGTGAACTTGTTTCCAAAATGGAAAGAACGAACTACACCTTCCACATTTTTGTTACATTTTTCAATTTCATATTTTTAACAGTGGCCTTTTTTTTTAGGATTTTCTTTCATTTTTGTCTCAGTTGGTTTTTAAATCTTCCTCTCTAGAATATGTGCAGTATATACAAGAAAAGCATCTGCCATTTGGTATTACCTTTACCAGTACTTCTACTAAATAATTATACTCAGGTCAGAGGTTAGCACTGGTCTAGATTAGTCCTTTCATATCTGAGAGTCCTTCATACCTGAAATATCTTTCATATCTGAAAGATATGTCCTTCCATATCTGAAAATTTTACTCCTCAGAAATTTAGCCATCCTTAAAGATGGCTGAGGGATAGCTATTTGTATAAAATATTATTAAAAGGTTTTGGGTTTATAAAGTAGTCTTCATGTTCTGCAATATAGGACTATAATACAATTTGGCTTTGTAGTTTCCAAAAACCAAATAACAGGGAGAAGTAAAGAACCAAGACCTTCGGGAATGGTGAGGATTGTGGCTAGGGAAGAGGTAAACTTTGACCCTCTAAAGAGCAGGAATACAGCCAGGTTGCAAATGCAGTTTTAATAATGTCTCATTTGATTATTTTTATTTTCAGAGTAGCTGTGCTATGTGTTCCTAGATCTGGTTATTGCTTGCATTCAAGCCATCCCAGAGGATTCCTTGCTACGAAAATCCGTCATTTGAATACAATGGGTTTTCATGTAGTCTTGGTAAGAAAAAAATGCAAATGGTGGCTGATGTACATTCTAGCGGTAGCCAGGCTGTAAAAGAATAGAAGTTGGAGCCACCGGGGATTTAGCTCAGTGGTTCCGCTGCCTGCCTCGCAAGCTCAAGGTCCCGAGTTCAATCCCTGGTGCCAAAAAAAAAAAAAGAAAATAATAGAAGTTGGTATTATTGGAATAAGTATTGGTATAAGAAGCTTTGAACTAAAAGTATTTGGTATAAGAAGTATTGAATAAGAAGTTGGTAGCCAGGCTCTAAAAGAGTAGTTGGTATTATTGGAATAAGGATTTTAGTTATTGCTTTCTTTGAAAAACAACATTTCTAGTACCTGATTTGGCTTTTACTCAGCTGAGTGCTGTTATTTACTAGGAAGATTTATAAATGTTATTTTAGTCAGCTTTAATCCAGTTTTGATAAGAAGAATGCAAATTTCATCTTACTGAATTCAAGACATATGGAACTATTTTCAATTTTCATATTATTTTGAACAAGGGATAAAGGATGCCAAAGCTTGTTTTCATGAGCAGTGTGAGGCTGTTGTAGGATGCTAGTCACATAGAAACCGGGACAGCAGGGCTCTTCCTTTTCGCTTTCATGCTTGTTGGATCCCAGTACCATACCTGTTCTTGAATATCCTCTTTAGATATCTTTGTAGCAAGAACTCACAAATACATTTGTATATGTGCTGCCGAAGCGAGCACAACAGATACATTTGTGATAATGTTGGAGTCTGTCGTAGCACTACTCAGTTGGTCCTACATGTACTGTGAAGTGTAAACATTCTCATCTTCCACTGTCATACTTTAGTATCCAGAAGTGAATTGTGCATGGATTATCGAGATGAAAACAGCCCTTCTCTATTATTTGAGATTTTATTTTTCATACTAGGAAAAATATATATCCTAGGGAAGATTTTCCCATAAAAATAACTTTTGCACCACTTAGAGAGCCTTTAAGGTTTTTATAAGTCTCAGTGTTACAGCTTTCCTCAGTCCTATTAAATAGTCTCATTACACTTTTAAAATATGGGTAATTATAAAGTAATATTTGCATTTAGAAAGCAGTTCACTTGATGCTACTTTATATGTTTGGATCTTGAAACTAGCTTTTATTTTACGTATGTATCGTCTCACAAACTGTTTTCCTCTTTCTCTGGTAAGGTCAAAAGCTGGGAGATGAAAAAACTAACGATGAAGGATGCAGTCAAAGTTTTGAAGACCAAAATCTATTCAGGAAGTCCTTCCTACTACTGATGTAAATTTGCAAAACTCATTTTCAAGTAAAAATCAACCTTTTCATATTAGAATGCATAGATTTGTAAAAATAACTTTAATAAAGACTGTAGTTCGGTTATCAATGGAATTAACCTGGCTGCTTACTGAATCAGAAAATGTTATTTTAGTTCACTGTTAATTTTAAGAATGGAAGAAACATTGTTACTTGCATTTTAGAATATGCTTACAAAATTTCCAGAAGAGTCATTTTTCTGACCACACACCTATTCCTTCTACTGCCCACATATCTGACAAATTATTATCCATAGGTTTCACTTTTGCTTATTAGCATTGATGTATTAAAAGCTGTTTTGTTTTTTTAGTTGAATTCCGATAGGTCACAGGCAAATTGATATGGACAGTCCTCTTAGGAATCTGCATATTTATCTTTTTGCTATAAGCTGTTTTAAGACTTAGGATTATGTGTCCAGATCATTTCAAGCACTCTCCATGTAGCAGTTGGGCCCTGTTCTCCATTTGTACAGTGTGTAAGAAGCAGTGAGGTGGCTTTTTAAAGAATGAATGAGGATAGCATTTACATTTGTAACAAGCAGAATAGGTGGAGGTGTTTCATGGGGCATAATAAGAGAAACAGATGAGATAATGGATGGCAAAGAGTCTGTATTTTTATGTAAACTGATAAGCTACGACTTGCTAATACTATAATTATTGCCATTTTGAGTTTATTCCTACACTTCCCACCACTTCATGAGATCTTCAAAATTAAATATGTAACTGTACTTTGTTATAAATTAGACCTTACAACTATTTTTCAATTTTTTTTTCATTCTTTTGTTTAATTATTTGTTCAAGTTCAAATATTTTATTCTCTGTACCTAACCACCCAGTGTTTGACTCTTTGGGAAACAGTGATGAATAGGTATGGTCACTTGTGGAACTTACATGTGTTCCCTGCAAGTCGGTATTATTTTACCCCAGGTACCCAAGACATGCAGTTACTGGACATCTTACTACTGTATATGCCAGGGACTGCTGAGTATTCATATGTATTCTCTCTCTTCCTTATCTTACAAACTTTGAAGTGCAGGTTCTTTTAGGATGAACGCTGGGCCTTCACTCCCTCATATCTACTATGAAGATAAGTTATTTGCTAAACCTGCATGGGCCCTATACAGACCTATTACAGCTAGACTTTTAATGTGAGCTGCTGTGGGCTTATGAGGAAAGTATTCCTCATAATCCTTGAGGATTCCTGAGGTTGGCAATAAAAACGCAGCAATTTGACTACAACTGTCAGCTTTTGTCAATTTACCCAGCCTGCTTAGAAAATGTTAGAGCTGAAAGGTCCCTCATTTTATGGATGAGAAAGTTAAGGCTCCAAGCATTTTTTTTCCTGAAGCCTAGGTCATACCATTGATTTACACCTGTGTCCAAAGAGATTAGGATTCTAGTTCCAGATTGAACATCATCTGGGTTTGTGTGCTTATCAAGTGATTTAACCTTTATAAGCAGCATCAGAGTGAGATGAAAATATTCTATTATTTATGAAACTAAGATTCATTCTTTAAATGTTAAATGTGGATCAGTTTCTTCTTTTGGCTAATTATGACTCATGATCAGAAGATTGGACAATTTATGAATATGTATAACTACCATTTGGATTAGTAGTTTTCCTGAATTTGAACTGATTGACATGGCAATTAAGGCATTCTTCTTTTACTAGCATCGCTAATACTAGCATTCTTCATTGCTTTGTGGCAATGAAAGAAAAATGAGCAAACAGCTGATCAACATGAGAAAATTTCAATCTACTGGTGAAGACATGCGTATTCAAACAACAGATATTTTTGCCTTTTAGATTAGCAGTGTTTTATTTTCCTTCAGGAATTACAGTGCTAATGAAGGTACAATAAGGCAAGTACTTGCTTGTGCTGCTGGTAGAATATAAATTAATTCAAATTTTCTGGAACGTACTTTTTCTCCTGTATTTTAAAAAATAGTTTTATTGAAGTATAATTGACATACAAGGAACTGCATACAGGGTATTTAAAACGCAGTTTGGCAAATTTTGACGTAGAAGTACATATATACCTCAGAAACCATCACTGCAGTCAAGGCAATGAGCAGATCGATCACCTCTAAAAGGTTCTTCTCTTTGTTTCCCTCTGACCCTGAACCTACAGATCTATGATACACAGAGGGAATGATGTATTTCCATAGCACTAGCTGTAGATTGTTTGGAGTCTTCAGGGCTTGGTAGAAAAAAGTTTTCCTTATGACATAATAAGAAATCAGTAAAGCCTAGTGTTAGGAATACTATATATTAAATATTTTCTGTGAAATTTTCAAGCATTATTTTCAGAATCCTTAATGAGTGCCTTGATCTTGCTTTCTAGACATAATGATTAAATACCAAGCTATGTACTTGAAGTGGCTATGAGTAATTCTTGATCAAGACACTTTAAGAAGTTCCTTAGATTCTTTAGTTACCGTTGACAAGAAACTTTGTTTATAAAAATACAATTGAAAATTATGTTTAGAGCCTAACAAGTCTTTTTTAGTCATTGACAGAATGTGGTGTGGGTGTTTTTTTGTATGTGATGATAATAATTGATCTCAAATGCAATTGAATTTTTTAATTCTGTGTATTTCCAAAGAGGGATGACAATCTGATAGAATAAGCCTGTGAGGACCTGGCATTCTTCAAACCCCTACTCTGCTTCACTGATCTTACCCGACAGCTGGAGGCTCCTTTGTCCATGTGTCCAGGCTACACAGGTAGATGTCCAGGTGACTGGACACACACTTTCCTTCACATACTGCACTAACAGCAGAGTGAGCGCCAGAGCCTGTCATGGTCGGTATCCATGGGGCCTGAGAGATGCATCAGCAGAGCCTTCCCTGAGTGAGCAGATTACTGGCCAAGGGGGCTTCAGCTATGCAGCCCTTTGTGGACACCCAGCAGGCCGAGGAGTCAGGTATCTCTTGATATACTTGTGATCCATTTGTGCACATGTGTATGCCCTGGCTCAGTGGTGGGCCTAGAAAAAGCTGAAGTCTACATTTTCCTGGCCCTTCCAGCTTGAATTCCAAATGAGACTTAGCTGTCTCCATGCAGATATGCCTGCATGAAATTAGGTAGGTCAAATGAGATGGAGATCCTGCTTCTGTTGTTTCTGCCAACAGTCATGGAGCATTTGACTTGTCTGGAATCACAATAGTGAGTCCCTGGGGTAGTGTGGCAGAGTATGGGGCATCCATTTTGCTGGTAGGGATTATGGCCAAGAATGTGATTGGAACCAGCACCTTCCTGATGTTCCCGGTTCTGCACTACAAACAGAGAAAGCAGCTTTTCCGGATAGCCAGTTCTGTGATGGAGTTCTGTGATGGAATTCTGAGAGTCATCGCTGGGTGTCAGACTGAAGGCTATTTCTTTACCCCAGTCCAGTCAGTGTGTTAGCAGAGGAGTCTTCTGTGAATCCCAGACGTTAGCCTCCACGCGCACTGTCTAAACTAGAGTGGCTTCAGTTATTAACCTATGAGAGCTGATTGATAGATGCTACAGGTATAGGCTTACATATGTTGTAAATTTTAAAAGTAGAATTCATTTCTCTAAAATTTTGTGAATTTTGCTCAAGATTAGAGATACATGTTACTGAAACCCACTATGAATACCTTGTACATGGCTTGTTAGTTTACATCCTTAGCAGGCTTCTCTGGGCTGCAGTAAAGCTTTCCTGACAGGTGAGGGGAGAAAGCAAACTTTTGCTTCCTGCTACTCTCTTTGCACTTGGTTTTCACCTTACTTCCCCTCACTTTTACTGCAATGTGCCAGTTTCCTTAGGCAGTCTTGTAGGAACCACAACATCCTGAAGAAGGAAAGGGAGAGGGCATCAACCTTTTACCCAGTGGATTTAGGAATTCCATTCCTTCTTTTTGCTAGAAAAAAAAATGAAGAATAGGAGAAAGGGAATTTGCTAAACGTGTAAGTCATATCTTGTCATAATTTTAAGTAAATTAGACAACCAATGTTATATTTAAAAATCTTTGAAGTGCTTGCATACATCAGAAAATATTTCTCTATTTTATTGAATGGCAGTCTTGAAGAATACTTAGTCTAAAAGAAAATTAATTAAAGGGGTGATGCCCTCTTCACCAGTTTGAAGTTCAAATAAAGTTCCATCTGCTGTGGTTACAGCCTATCGTTGAAATGGGGAAGTGTGGGGTCCAATCCACAGGGCTCTGTGTGGGTCACTGTGTCTAGAGAGGAAGGTGTGTCTCTTTCATTGTTTCTAAAAGGTGCTCTGTGCTGGGCAGCCATTTACAAAGTATCTCCCAGGGCCAGGATATTGAGGCAGAGCAGGTTGTTCAGTCACCACTACCTCTTTTGCCCAGTATTTCTGAAGTCATCTTGGATAAACACATAGCTGGAAAAAACAAACAAACAAAAAACCAGGCAACCAAAGCAATGCTATTCATTTACAGGTGAATTTACTTGCTCATTAAAAAAAAGTACTATATGCGCTTGTAAGTCACAATATCTCACTCATGTGAGTCCCAGCAACACAAACCAAAGAAAATCTCAAACACATTTCCCTGTGAATTTGATGCCATTGTGTGTGTGTGTTTTTTAATTGTGGCAAGGCATGATGGCACATGCCTTTAATTCTAGTTATTAGAGGGTAGAGGCAGGAGCATCATAAGTGGGAGTCCAGCCTGGGCAACTTAATAAATAGATAAAACTGTCTGGTACTGCAGCTCAGTGGCAGTGCACTTGCCTAACATATGCAGGCCCCTGGGTTCAGTCCCCAGTACTGCCAAAAATAATTAAATCATGGTAAGATGCACATAACAAAATTTACCATCTTAACCATTTTAAGTGCACAGTTCAGTGGCATTAAGTACATTTACATCGTTGGGTAACAAACATCACTATCCATCTCCAGAATCTTTTAAACTTACAAAATGGAAACTTGGTACCTGTTAATCATGAAGTCCCCATATCCCACCCCCACCCCCCATTCCCAGGGCCTAGCAACCAATCATTTATTTTCTCTTTTTCTTCTGTCAGTGCTGGTGATTGCACCAGGACCTGTACGCACCAGGTGAACACTCTTCCATTGAGAG